AGGGTTTCGGGTTTAGGGTGAAGGGACCCCAGGGCTTGGGCTTATAGGATACCTTAGGTAGCGTCGTCTTGTCAGGCTGTCAGGTGTAGCATGATAAGATATGATGAGAGTCTAAGAAGTATCACAAGGATTTCGCCGTAGACTTTCATAGGGTAGAGTCCAGTTAGGGGGCCAGATATCAAATGGCAAAGGCCATCAGAAACAGCAGATTGGGTTGAAAGGATGTTCTCGACTTCCAGGAACCAGGATTTGGGAGGCTGAGGGCTTAAGACTTGGGGTTCAGAATCAAGGGTTTACTTGCAGCTCCGCGGCGACAGGTGGAGGAGGAAGATACCCAAACCAAGTCTCTAGAGCAGTTCAGACACACCAATCCGGAAGCGTCCTAGAGGAAAACATGGACCCTGCAGAAACTGCAGCCCTGGAGTCCAACACCCTGAACCCCAACATCGGGTTTAGGGTTTAGGGTCTACCCCTAAACCCCTAAGCCTGGAAGGCCAATAAAGTCCACCTTAAACCGCCATGGAGTCTGACGAATTTGCAATTAGATGCCCTCAGCGTCCCCATATAATTATTATGCCAGAGTAACCCCAAGCAAAAAAAAAACCATGTTCTAATAACTAAGGCCACTAAACCCCTATGCCCCTGTGGACGCCTCTTTTAAGGAGCCCCTCTTCCAACTATTGGGGGCCTCTTTTCTACCACTAGACTCCTAAACCCTAAACCCTAAACCCTGAACCCTAAATCCTAAACCCTACACCCTAAACCCTACACTGTTACACCCTAAACCCTAAACCGTAAACCCTAAAACCCTAAACCCTAAACTCTAATCCCTAAAACCCTAAACCCTAAATCACTAGGACGATGCCAAGCAGAGGTGCAGAAGCAGGTGACATCGAGCCGTCCTGGGGATCTCTAGAGCTTGGGATTTTGGGCTTTGGGGTTTAGGGATTTTGGGCTTTGGGGTTTAGGGGTTTAGGGGTTTAGGGCTTAAGGGTTTTAGGGGTTTAAGGGTTTAGGGATTTTGGCACGGTTTAGGGCTTTGACTTTAGGTCTCAAGGGCGTAGGGGTGGGAACCTCTAGGGTTTCAGGGCCTTGGGTTTTGGATTTCCGGGTTTAAGCTTAGGAATTCATGGCTCGAGGGCTCCAGGATTCTGGGGGCTTCGCATCGCGGGATTGTGAGTTCAGGGTCCTGGTACCGGGTGAGACTTAGGTTGACATAGACTGGGGAAGAACGGCATGGGCCAGAAGGTCCTCAGTCAAGCAGCGCCGCCTAAAGCAAACTGAAGCAGTAAGGATACTGCTACGGCTACAACATGCAACACAAAGGGTCGAGTGCATATGGGAACAGAGCCTCTCAAACCATAGCAAGAGAACCCTAAATCCTAAACAGCAACATGCGACAGAATTAGAACTAGTGACCGCTTTGATCGTTGCACGGGTGCATTCTCTAAAGGTTGCCATTGATCTGTGCCATATACATGATGGCCGGAAATGAGAAGGAAACACCAACGCTAAAGGAGAAATACTGCAACTCCTAGACCCCTTCCATCCGCCCCACGTCCTTATATGTATGTATATATATATATATATTCCGAAGGTTCTGTACATCCTAAACCCTACGTAGTAAGCCCTACACATCCAATAATGAGCTCTGACCCTAAACCCCGGAACTCCCTGAGTTCTTCAGATGGCCTTCTTTTGATCGGCACTTTTGGAGCAAAGACAGGCGGTGGCGCGCCGCCCGGTTTGCGATGACCTGGATCCGAGCTCAGAGGGGTTTGGAGTGTCGCTCACCGGATCCCTGGCCTCTGGCCAAATTTATGTGTATATATATATATGTATATATATATATGTATATATATGTATATATATATATGGTGCTGCAAGGTTTGAGGCTTCGGGCTTCGGGTTTAGGTTTTGCGGAACAGTTTAGGGCTCAAGCTGGCGGAAGTTGACGGTAGTTGGTTGGGCTTCCAGGCTGGGGACGTTGTCAGAAGCCCAATTGCGTTTTGTGTTTGGCCCTAAACCCCTACGTCAGCCCTGAGACGTAAGTCAGCAAGCAGCTGTCCACAGCTGCTCGTCCGAGTATTCCCGAAAGACTGCGCCCTGGACCATGCGGCCAACGAAGTGGTGGAAGTCCTGAACACATGCATTGTTGTGATGTATGTAGATACATATATGCATGTACATAGGTATGTCGGTATGTATGCAGGTGCTAATTAATGCAAAGTGAAGTAATGTAGCTACTTCTTATTTGCCCAGTCAGTTAACAATTCTTGTTCTCTATGTGCATGCATGCAGAATACATGTGCGAATTGTCTTGTACGTATGCGTGTATATATATATATACATACATATATGTAGAAATGTAAAGACACACTGCACTGAACATGAGCTATCTCTCCAATTTACCACGGCTTGTTGTAGAGCTTCCTGTGTAAGGGCATACGTAGGATGTTAAGTAAGTCAGGGGGGTATAGAATGAGCATTCCCCATGGCTGCAGATATGAAGCTCTGCTCAGCAGGTGGGCTTCGGCAGCTGGTTGCGCAGTCTAAGATGTCAAACGACAAGACCCCACAGTTGTCTACGAGTGACCAAGGCTTCCAATAGTTGGATTGAGGACTTCCTGTTTGCGATCTAGGATGTAGCTTGCTTTAGTTCGGGTGTCCTGGTCGCTGTCCAGCCAGCCTGCCTTCCGTTGTGAGGGAGCTTCCGACATGACTGCTAGCCACGACCCTATCTTCAACAGGAAAGGCTGTCAACACAACTTGCCGGGTCTGGTGCGCAAGCAAAACAGCGAAACGGTACAAGTTGTTTCGTGCTGCTCCACGTGTTCAATGTTTCTGTGCATCAGCTCTGCTGCAACTATCCTGACTTGTCAACATCTTGTAAAATTGGCTGTCTTGACTACTCAGCACCTGAGCCATGCTAGTTCTGTTTCATCACTCGTTCAGGGGGCTTTGGGTTAAGATACAATGGGATGTTGTGGAAGCAAGCCGGGAACATGGCTCGGGATTGGGTTGGGAACCCTCCACAGGGATTAGCGATAAAGCCAGGTTCGAGGATCAAAAAAATGTCTTAGGCCGCAATACCTGCACCTCGGGTGTTAGAGCCTGTTAGAACGACACATCACAAACTGTGCAACTGTCCTTGCTGCTGGAGTCTTTCAATTTTGCAGCTCGTGCGTCCATAATTCGGAAGCATGTCCGAATGCAGAAAGGGCAGTGATTACAAGCGCGGAAATAAAACGGTCTGTACAAGTCCTCTAAGGAAACACCCAATTTGCCATGCGTTTGTCCTCCTAGTGCCGACCCAGGTCAAAGACTCTGTTGAGGAGCCTCATGGGCCAAGCAACAAGGGCTTCGTGCCTCTTAGTGCTTAGAGTTTTGGGGTTTAGAGTTTAGGGTTTAGGGTTTTGGGCTTCCAGGAATCTTACGGTGTTTTTAAGGTTAAGGGTTGCATTTGCCTGCCAATCAGTGTGCACGGCGTGAGGAGATTAGAGTCTTTGAGAAACCCCGACCTCCTTCGCAGCTGTACACCCTGCGATCTCCACCACCTACGGAGTACCTACCTTTGGTTAGTAGGGAATGGAAGAATGGTAGTAATGGTACTTATAATAGTTCCCATTCCTCCATTCCCTACTAACCAAAAGTAAGAGTATCGCTCCGCTTGGCTGCTTTGTAGCGGAGCTTTGGTCGGACTGCCGCGCTCATGGGATAAGGGTCCTTCGCCACGAAGTTCACCACGTATTCGCACAGCTGCCTGAAAACACACATCGTGGCTGCTCCAAAGGCTTCTGATAGTGTGTTCATAGAGTTTAATGGATAATGATGGGGGTATTATGGGGGTAATTATGATAATAATGGTAGCAATAGTAATGGGATAATTATGGGTTAATATTCTTTCGCTGGATGTTGATGCTGTTTCGCAGGGTTTCAACACAGCTTGACAGTGGCTCCGGTTGTGACAGAAGCTGGCTAGAACAAATGCAACAAATGAAGACAGGGACGCACTCTAAACCTCAAGCCATAAAAGTCGAAAACTTCAGCAACTACGATTGGCAACCTCATCTCGGATAGGCTCAAGTCCTGAAACCCCGCTGCCACTACGCACCCACAAAGTTAGCTAGTTAGATCGATATTTAGGTTAGATATCGATAAAGAGATAGATAACTTAGATAGATAAATAGATAGATAGATAGATCAAGAGGAAGATGGGTAGATAGATAGATAGCAGCCAGATAATCTAGCAGCCTTTGGGTTTTACGGCGGGGTTCAATCTTAGACCAGAGGCCGTTCAGTATGTGTGTATGTATATTTAATAATTCCGAAGGCCCTGCGCCCTCGGGCTTCGGCCTCGGACAAAGCCTCCATGCAGGTTCCAGTGCCAGCTCTACCTGGCGGAAGCCCTAAACATCGACACTTTTCCTTGAAGAGCCCTCAAGGCCTAGTCCTTATGTGTCTGGTGTTTCGGGCGACTTTTTGACAGCTGATGTCGCCCCCATGGCCGGTGCCTTGGGGTTTTGGGGGGCGAAAGGTTGACGTATAGTTGGGGGTTTAGGGTTTTACGGGCGCAGGATAGGGTTTACGTCGCGAGAGTCTGTGAAGCCATGAGGTCCGGCCGAGCGGCAGATCGAGGACTCTCCAGGGCACTTAGCATTTGTAAACCCGGAATGAAGCAAACTCAGGGTTCGGGAGTTGCCATGTAATACAGGGGCCGGTGCCGCAATGCTTAGACTTTAGACTAGGGTTTTGAGGCACGCTGCAGCATAATAATCAGGAATCAGGAGCCCTAAGGAATAAGAAAGATAATTACTCTGGCTTCTATATTAGGCACGAAGCTTCGAAGTAGTGCGGCACGTGGACTCTTCTGTTGACATCCCTGGATCGCTACAACGACCCTACCCAGAGTCAGACGGAGCTGCCGAAAGGAAATCTTTCAAGTTCTTGTCGGCCGCACTCTTCAGGAAGTCGTCACACTGCTGACGATATACGGCGGCTGCCAGAAGTGGAGGATTGCTGCAGCCATGAAGCTGTGACTGGAAAAGGATGTCAAGCTCATCCCACTTTTTCGTGATGCGGCATTCCTGTCTCTTCTCGCGGAATGCTCGAAGAATCCGTTGTGCCTCGGGCATGAAGACCCGTACATCGTCAAAGGAGACTTTGATTTGGAAAGAGTCGAAATTGACCGCGCGCGGCTTCCGGATGGCCTCGTACAAGCAGGAATTACCATGTTTCTCACGGTACGTGTCATGTAGCTTCTCGATGTTCAGATTGGTGTAAAGTTTTCCAAGGGCACTTGCCGACTGAACTACCAGTGCGCTGCCCCGTGTCGCAGACCGATGCCAGTGAGGAACCTTATGATCGGGCAAGTTGAGAGCCGTGATGATCTGGCGCATAGGAATCCTGCTGTCGATTTTGCCATCGAGAGCGAGCTGATGAGCTAGGCCAACCTTGATGGCAGATTCATGTCTTGCTCCAAACTGATCTGCCAGGAAGTGCCAGCGGTTTGCCATGCCACCTACCACCAAGTCCTTCTTCAAGTCTTCGGCGGCTGCCTTGCAGATGTTCCAGAAGGGCGACTCTGATCCGGGCACAGGACAGTCCACCGAAGGGACAAGCTTCTTTAGGGTATCATGCACCTGGCAAACTTTGGCATGCTCGTAAGCAGTGTTTTTGAAATGCTGAACCAGTGAGGTGTCCGTGAGGATAAGGACGGTGTCACCATCGTAATCTCCACCCGCCAGGACATGGGCTGGGGAGAAGTCGCAACTTTCGTGGGCAGAGAGGAGGAGCCTAAGTTATGTGAGGGAGCCCACGATCTGCAATCTGCGGGCAGCATACTTCAGACAAACAAAACAAGATTTTTGAACACGACCAGGCGGCACATTGTCGTGCAAGCAGGTTGGGTAGCCGCCGAATCTCTCCAGCACCTCGACGGTGCTCAGAAGGCGTATCTTTTGGACATCCCACGGTGCTGTACATGGGTTGCGAGCGATGATAGCCTCGCCTTCAATGTATCCTTTGTCTTGGGTCCTGAAGACAGCTTCCCCAGGAAGCAGTTTTCGTGCAAAGTCCGGGACTATGAAGGCACGCCGCGCGCCCGGACTCTTGTAACTTGCATTGGTCTTTGCATCATCCAGTGCCTCGAGATTAATTAAAAGGGGGATACATGCATGTGTCGTTGCTATCGACCCTCACGCATGTGGATCCAAACACTTCAACCGAAGACTGCTTCAACAAATCGGCAGTGGCTGCACGGTTTTGAGTTTGACAGTGGCGTGCCTTCTCAACTGAGTACCGCCAAATGTTTGCCAGCAAAGCTGGTTCCTGCCGTGGATCGATCCCAGCGTCACATGCTTGCAGCGCAATGCCTGCACCATCTTGGCAACTGAGTCTGCTGGCAACCTGTGCTCAGAGTTTCTGTCGCTATGAGTGAACATGACGAGCAGAAGTCAAGGCTTTACATACACACCATCGACAAGTCAAGCTCGTTCTGAATGCAAGCATCCTTCAACAGCTGATGAGCTAACTCCGTTCCAAACTCCGAGCTCAACAAATCTCCTACCTAAATCACGAAAAGTTTGATGCCGTGAACCCCAAAATTTTCCTTCATAACGCCCATGCCGAGGTTCCGATTCCACATCTCCTCCCAACCGTTCTTCCAGCATAGCAGAGATATGCGTCTGCTGGATGTCCAAAAGTGCCTCCATGCCGTGGATCGTACGCGAGACTGGCAAGCAGAAACGATTTTGTGCATGGGTGCATGTATGCATTCATTCATGCATGCCCCTCATGCATCAATGGGTGACACATGTATAAATTCAACTTGTATATATATGTAAATAGATAGATATGCACACGCGCCTAGGTATATACATGTGCATAACGCAAACTATGCATTATCATATAAGCCGTGGGCACACATGCACATGCCACAGCATGCACCTCTGTTTTGGCCTTGTACTCGCATACGGTATGTGTGTAGATTCATGATCTCTCTATGCGCGTGGCCAGGATTTCGCAAGTAAGTGCTGACACATTAAAGTGTGTATGCATAAACCTCAATGCACAACAAGTAGAATAAGCGTGTCATCCCACACATATGTCGCGGATACGTATCCAGACATATGTACATGAATACGTACGTACCCATACAAGCACAATACATACATGTACTCACTTACTTACTTACTTAAGTACTTACTTACTCACATACTTACATTTACAATTACATTTACCTTTACATTTCATGTACATACATACATACATACATACATACGGCACAAACAAATGTCTGCATATGCGCATGTATGTGGACAAGCAGTAACAATCCCCTGGTCCGCTCGCACGTGAATCTACCTGCCCGCAAACACTTCAAACCCATATGTGAAAGTGTGTATATATACATATACATATACATATATATATAATATACCTACACACGGCAAGATACCTGTATACATATAGATGTAAAATATATATATATACATATAAGTTATGACTACTTGTACATAAACCGACAAGAGCACACACACACACACGCACACACCCGCGAGCATACATACATACACACACATACATACATACATACATACATACATACATGCATGCATGCATGCATGCATGCATCCATGCAAGCACGCATACAGACACACACACACATACATA